AGCAAGCTAGGATGTTGAAGGCTCCTGATGCAGAAAGAAGTGAAATTAATCTCAGCAGACTCATCCTCATGTGCGACCAAAGAAAGCTACTTCTTCTATGTCTAATGGACCTTGGCTTGTCTTCATTCTCCTTTGAAATGTATGCATTTAGTTTTCTCCTAAAGAGACAGAGCCTCAAATGAAGAGGACCAGTTTTCATATCCTACCTATTGTGCTTTGGACTAGTTGATGTTAGGCAAAGCATGTCATTAAAACTTAGTTTCCTCATTAACAGAATGGGACAGAATAACTATATCTACTCCGTCAAAAGTGTCATATCTGACAGCATTCTGTAAGCTGAATCCCCCTGCCAGAGCCAAGGTTGATTCCTGCACTTACTTTATTAGGGGGACCCCCCTCCCAGTTTTCAGGGTAGCCGTGAAACTTCAGGGCTTTGGGACAATGAAATTCTAAGTGTTTAGATTTTTAAAAAAACTTTAAAAACTCCTGCTAGGAATGGCCACATCTTTTATCCCAGTACTTAAGTGGCAGAGGCAGACAGATCTCTGTGAGTTCAAGGCCAGCCTGGTCTGCATAGTGAGATCCTGTCTCAAAAATAAATAAATAACCAGGGCACAATGTAACATGAAAACAAAAGAACTGAGCTTGAAATATTGTAAGCAAGTGCCAGCCCTGCTCACAGCATAAAACACAATTGTGTGTCTTTAAAATAAATATCAATTTAGAGAATGAAATACTGAGTAGGAAATTACTATGTCTTTTTTACTCCATAAATAGTAAAGCGGTAATTACAACATTGTAAATCTCACTGTATTGAATTCACACTTTAGGAAACAGGTGTATTGTAAACATTGGGACTTTGCCATTCTGTCTTTTACGTTCCTAATGGTGAATCTGTGAGAGTTTCACTGTCTTCTGAGAAGTTAAGGGCTGTGGAATGCATCTTCACTGTCCTTGTGGCTAGAGATCATTTCTTAGTGTTTTAGGAACTATTAACAGGAACCCATTGAAACTGTGTCAGGTGGCAGAATGCCCGCTATCAGTTTGCGGAAGCACTTTATGTGACAGAATTCATATAGAGGACTGTTAGATGGCTCATTAGTTATAACTAGAGCATTGACTGCTCTTCCAAAAGGACCTGGGTTCGATTCCCAGCACCCACATGGTGGCCAACAGTTGTGAACTCCAGTTCTAGGCGATCTGATACCCTCCTCTTCTGAACTACTCCGCAGGCACTGCACGACACGGGTGCACTCACATACATGCAGGCAACACACTCCTACACTTAAGATACAAATAATAAATAAAATATTGTTAAAAAATAAAATACGATACAAATAAATTCATATCTAGAGCTGATCAGGGTAAAGACCTTGCATGTTGTTCCAGCCCTGGAACAACTGTTCAGATAGCTGGTTTCATAAGATGGTTGAGAATCCACACTGTTTGGACTCCGCTAATATTCCATCTACTTCAAAAGTAAAAGGAATAATTTTATTGAATATTTCTGCTGCACATTCATAAGTTTTCATTAAATTGTCCAGATCTGGGGCCAGAGAGATGGCTCAGCGGTTAAGAGCACTGGTTGTTCTTGCAGAAGTCCTGGGTTTGAATCCCAGCACCCACATGGCCAAGCTAACAACTGTCCATAACTCCAGTTCCAGGGGATCCGACAGCCTTTCTGTCCTCTGTAGGCATTGCACGACATGGGGGCACTTACCTACATGCAGGCAATACATTCATACACATAAAATAAAAATAATAAATAAAGTACTTTAAAAAATAAAGAAAATAAATTGTCCAGATTTGACAGGGCAAAAATCATATAATTGGATTATGTTCTGTTGATAGCAAGAACCCTAAAAATACTTGCCTTTCAATCCTTTTCTGTTGATCCTTATACATACATATAATGCTGGAAAGTTCAGTTTATTCTTCCAAAATTTTGCTTCATCCATCTAGCAGAATTAATTATTTTTCCTATGATCCAGAATTCTTTTGCAGGTGAGATGAGGGTGTGTGTGTGGGGGGGGTTGTGTATGTGTGTGTCTGTGTCTGTGTGTCTGTGTATGTCTGTGTGTGTCTGGTATGTGAGCAATGAAAATAGTAAAAATTGTGAGAGCCAGTAGTAAGAATTTAACTTCACATTGCATGAGTCCTGTGTCTCCATCGTTTGGTTTCTTAAATAGCAAAACAGATGCATCAAGACTTGAGGAATTTCTGTGAGAACTTGTGACACCAATTGAAAGAGACTTGGCATGTGCTGTGTATGTCTGTGTGTGTCTGGTATGTGAGCAATGAAAATAGTAAAAATTGTGAGAGCCAGTAGTAAGAATTTAACTTCACATTGCATGAGTCCTGTGTCTCCATCGTTTGGTTTCTTAAATAGCAAAACAGATGCATCAAGACTTGAGGAATTTCTGTGAGAACTTGTGACACCAATTGAAAGAGACTTGGCATGTGGCCTTCAGAACAGGAGCCTTTGTCATTATTTCTTTGTGTATAAGAGAATTACCAATAAGAAATACACATTCAAGGCTTCCCTCTACTCATGTTTGCAAAACCTCAGACTTGTCCGTTTCTCATCTCTGTGTGTCTTTTTTATAATCTATACTATAGATGTAATACAATGCCCTCCAGGTCTTCTATTGATTATTGTGGGTTAAATGAGAGGCAAGATGTGGACCCATCTAGCACACTTCTGAGACCCAGGTAGTTCAATACTTATATTTGAATTTAACGTCTGCTTCTCACTGCAAAAAATCAACATCTCTATTAATCCTCAGAGATGACAATCCAGAGTTAGATATAGTTCTGATTTTACATTTTCTAAACCACTTACTCTTAAAGAAAGTATTTTCTTTTATTATGTATGATAAGCATCGGGTACTTAAAACAACTGTCCAGAATCTTTGTATCTTTATTCTAGTTAATAAAGAGGCCAGGAGTATTTCTGCAGCGTCCACAAATCTCTCTGCTGTTTCTTTAATTCTGCAACTTAAACAGAAGGGTTCTGTACCTTTATGCAGCAACAGTGACTTTTTCATCTAGCCTCAAGGGAGAGGCTTTGCCAGGGACCTGCCAGACAATAGCCTTAAAAGTAAAAATGGTCTGCTTTGGGTGCAGGGAGGTTCGGGGCCATTGTCAGTCCACAATGGACTTCTATCACTGCATTCCTGCTTTGCAAAGGTTTGTTAGCTTTAATGACTGACAGCACTCTCCTGCAAATACACACTGGGCATGCCCTGTTTTCATGGAACTTGAGCATTTATTTTGCAGAGCTCTGGATAAAGAAACAGTGCTCTTCGTTTGAACTACTCTGATAAGGTTTAAGAAATGATTTTGCTCCCAGTGTGCACTGGGAGCCCATTGCAAAAGTGTTTTAAACTTACTTTTAGAGTGTCAGAGAATGGGAACCCCAGTGACAGGAGGCGACACTCTTGCTATACTCAGAGAATAGTTGCTGTCGTTGGAGAAAGTGTGGCATGAGGGTAAAAGATCCCTGTTAGGGAAATTTAAAAGTAAGTTCATTAGGATGTTTTTCCTTAAATGTGAAAAATGAATGTGGTCGTTTGGTGACAAGGGGTAAAGGGATACTTTTTGCACCTTTCCTGGGGAAATCTAACATGGTGAATGCTTAAATACCTGTATATGTCTTGGTTCCAGAAAACAGCCAATACCTTTCACCATTTTGATATCTACCGTTTTTGACATCTTAGAAACAGTCCACATGTAACCTTGACTCTATGGAAAACCCCAAGACTCTGAGAGTCGATGGGTGTAAGATGGGGCCTCTTCAAACAGTAGAGACATCACACAAAGCTGATGAGAGTCCCCTTAAAGGACATTTCACTGTGAGGAAAATAAGCCAGCTTCTAATAGCACTATGGTCTAGCATAGATGGTCTCTTTGATGAGTTAACATGGCCTCCCTTTCTCTTCCTCCGAGGGGATAAGAGACACCTAAACAAATACAAATACACATCAACAGCAATGTGGGGAAGGTGGTGTGTCTCCCAAGCAGATATTAAGTCTGGAATTGTCTTTTAGATGCGGCACAAGGGGACACATCCTTTCGTTCAGCCAGTCCCTTTTCTAACCGAATGCAGTGCTAATCTTAGGATTGAAAGGCATTGTAATTGTGGACCCGTCTAAACGGTGACAAGAATATACAACTGCATTGTTTGGAACTGAGTTTAATGTCTGTGAGTTTCCTTGGCAGTTATATTTACTTATACTTTTTAACTTCTTAGAGGAGATGCCAGAAACCAGGTGATCTAAGGAAACAGATCACAGACTGCAATGTATGACCTTGCTCTCTAAAAATGTGTGTATCCTGTCCCAACACAGGGCATTTGAAAAGAGTGTGATAGAAATCTGAAATAAGCAAATAGTAGATTTCCATTAGAGACATTACTCAGTTCACTTGATTTTGCAATCTTTTAAAAGCTTCTTTTATGTCAACTTTTTTTTCAATGTTCACAGTACTGGCAAATCTTGCCACAGTGCAGTTACCACCACACAATGTTAAACACATATTATGAAGCACATGGAATTGTAAACACACAGAGGGATGTAATTACATGTAGCAGATTTAAGAGCTAATTCTTTGCCTTTTTTTTCACTCTGCATTTTATCAACATAATTATTTTTTGACTGCAGACTAACACCCTGAAATTGACAGGCATCCATCCATTATAGCATGAATTTGCTCACCAAATTGAAAAACAATCAGCTTCAGGTTTATGCAAGCCCATTGTCATAAAGAATTAGGATGGCTTTGTTCTGCAAGAGGAAAAAGCTAATGATTTTGAAACAACAGGTGACCAAATACAACTCTTTTTTCTCTCCCTGTTATCAGTTTGTTGATGAAGTCATTATGAACTAGGGCCAGGACAGGGATGGCCTTATTTTTAACAGATAGACTTTTAAAAGCCCCATTGTAAATAGTCATGTTGATTTGCTTATGGGTGCGTGTGTGTGTGTGTTTCCTTCACTTAGAGACCCCCAGTATTGAAAAGCTGCTCTCAAAGGACTGGAAAGAGAAACTTCTGGCTATGGGATCAGGGAATGTTGGAGAAATAAAAGGTAATACCTGTTTGATTACTTTGATTTAAAACGTTCAGAAATGAAGTTGCTACTTATCAGTGTTAGCAGTAATGAAATGGCCTCCCTTGACCCCTCTGTTTCATGACCTGTCCAGGTCAGTTTTTGCAGCTGGGGCTGGGGTACATTACTCTTCCTAAGCTCTCCTTGTGCCATACAGAACAAAGGGGAGGAGAATTTGTGTTGTTGTTTTAACAGAATAATCCCCATTTTATCTTCACCTCTCCTCCTTTTATTTAACTTCAGTGATTAATTTCAAATATCAGAATGTATCTACAGCAAGGTTAGAAACCACATCTCATAAACTGGTCTCCATCTTCTACATATCAGAGATGGAGAGGCTCATGATCTACGACTGGAACCAGAAATGATAAGTAAGACACGCACAGTAAGAGGTGGTTTTAAATCAGTGAGGGTGGCGTTTCTGCACTGCGTCTATTTGAATCAGTAGTTACTACTAATAAATCTTCAAGTAGACTTCAAAGGATACTGAAGCTTAAACTTGTAGTAGCAAAGAGAAGATTTAGTTTCTACCTGTAGGCATGGAAGCAAATAATCCTTCTGGTTATTTATAAAATACCCTTTCTCGGGGCATGGTAAGCAGTGCATGGCTTTCTGTTTTATTTTTAAAGATTTGAATATTTTTATTTAATGTGTATGAGTGTATTGCCTGCATGTATGTGAGTGCACCCATGTTGTGCAATGCTCACAGAGGACAGAAGAGGCTGTTGGATCCTCTGGAACTGGAGTTACAGACAGTTGTTAGCTGCCATGTGGGTGCTGGGATTTGAACCCAGGTCTTCTGCAAGAACAGCCAAGTTCTTAACAGCTGAGCCATCTCTCCGGCCCCTATTTATTTATTGTTAATCTTTTTGAGACAGGGTCTCCCTGTAGCCCCAGGTGGCCTGGAACTCCCTATGTAGACTAGGCTGACTTTGAACTCCCGGAGATCTGCCTGCCTCTGCCTCCTGAGTGCTGGGACTAAAGGCATGTGCTACCATGCCCGGGAACTTATTAGTTTTATTTCATGTGTATGAGTGTATTGCCTGAATGTATGTAAGTGCACCCATGTCCTGCAATGCCCACAGAGGGCAGAAGAGGGCATTGGATTCCCCTGGAACTGGAGTTAAGGTCAGTTGTCAGCCACCATATGGGTGCTGGGAGTCAAACCCAAGTCCTCTGTAAGAGCACCCAGCACTCTTCACTGCTGAGTCATCGCTCCAGCCCCACAGCTGTAGTTTATTGCCATTTGATTTTGAGAATGTCAAGATATTTGCTTCTCAGTATTAACATATTTGATTACAGATTATAGTTCATATCTTTAACATATGCTAAATATAAACTTAAAACATCCTGAGATTGTTAGTGTACAAATAGCAATACATGTCTAAGTAACTACTTGGGGTATTGTGTAAAATGACTGTATCCCTTAAGACCCCGTCCCATCTAAGAATTCTAGAAAAAGGCAAAACACCTGTTTCTTCAGATATTTCACCTCTATGTCATTCAGATCTGCCTGCTTGGAAAATTCCCGAAAATATTTTTTCTGAAAATATTTCACATTTGCTCAATATACCAGCTATGATTACTGTGGATGGGTAGTGAATGAAGGAGCTCTCATCAACAAATTCAGTAACCAACATCCATGAGGAAAAATTTTTTAAATATTTTACTATTTTTATTTTATGTATATGAGTGTATGCCTGCATATGCTATGCCCACAGAAATCAGAAGAGGGCATCACATCCCCTGGAACTGAAGTCACATATCTGTTAGCCACCATGTGGGTGCTGGGAATTGGACCTGGGTCCTCTGCAAAAGCAGCCAATGCTTTTAACTGCTGAGCAATCTCTCCAGTCCCTGATGGAATAAAATTTAAATAATTAACATGCCTCAGAGCTTGAAGACAGGCAAGCTCCTCCTTTATTATTATTATTTTTTTGAGACACTGGGGCTTCAGTTTCTGGATGGATTTTAACCTGTGACACCTGAGGTGAATGAAGGATGGATTCTCTGGGCTCCTCTTTTCTCCATTGACCTCGGCCATCCCCATTTTTATTATTTATTTAATTTTTTTTTTTTGAGACACTGGGGCTTCAGCTTCTGGATGGATTTTAACCTGTGGCCCCTGAGGTGAATGAAGGATGGATTCTCCGGGCTCCTCTTTTCTCCATTGACCTGGGCCATCCCCGAGAGGAGGCCAGAGAGGACTGACTGCCTGTCCCAAGCCTTAAGATCTCATTCCATTGGAGGACAAATATTTTCCCCTCCCTCCTTTTCCTTCACAGACAGATCTGAAGGCAGCCACAGCTTAGAGGGCAGAGGCTTATGGCGCTGACCTTTCAGGCTCGCATAAGGTCTAGTTTAGGAAGCTACAGTGCAATAACAAAAGAAGTTTCTGTCTTTAATTTTGAGTTCTTCAAGCTTCATATTCAGAGCCCATGTTCAATTACTGTCCCTGGTTCTGTTCAGAAAAGCTGTTTTCAGAAGCATTTTGAAAGCCACTGTGCATCTTTCTTCTCTAGTGCATGGTTATTAGGTGTTCAACTCAGGTTTCCCAGTAAACTGGGGAAGAAAAAACAGCTCTGGGTTCCTTTGCCTGCAGACTGTGCAGGACATGTGCAATTACTGGCCGTTGTTCATAGGTAGAGAAGGTACGATAGGAGATTGCCCCTGGGGGTAAATGAATTTGACTTGAAGGGAGGCAGGGGTTGGCCGCAAGGGTTATGAGGTATCCAGGATTGTGGTTTTCTTACCGCCTCAGAAGAACAGTGTGTGCTTTGTAGAGCCACTGTTTTGTCGCAAGCAGAGGAAAGTGGAAATCTTGCATATATCCACTGTTTCTAGTCAGAGGCGGGAAGGGTCATGGTGTGTTTTTTTAAAATATGAAAACAGTAACTTCATGAATGATTGCATGGTGTATGACTGAGCATTTCAGATAATGGATTACAATAGAACTGTATGTCAGGATGCTTGCCTTCTAACCTCAGAACCGCAACTGCATTTTAATATAGGGTGAGACTTCCTCCTTCATTTATCTTGGCTATGTAAATAATTAGAGAGAAAAAGAGAGAGGAAGAAAGAGAGGGAGAAAGGGAAGAAATAGAAATCGCCCTTTCTGGAAGAAGTAACACTCCAGCAAGTGAGTCCTAAACCCTATTCCTCAGTCCTAGATTTAGGATGCTAATCAGCAAACTACTTCCAAGGTTTTTGAACAAATATTAGAACCCTCACCCTGGAAAAGCTTACAAAAGTGTTTCTAACTACTAATATTCATTAATATTCAAAAAAGTATAAATGGCAAATTTTGTTTATATTAGAAGAATAAGTAAGATTCAATTTGATGGATTAATTATTATAAATAATCATCACATGTTTAAAGTCAATCTCATTTTTCAAGAAAAAATGCAAGTTAGTAAAGTCCCCAACTTCTAAGAACAGGAAGTTACTTCTTTGTTTACATTTATTTATTCCGTGTGTGTGGCCACATGCACATACATGTGCACAGGTATGTCTGCCATAGCACTTGTGTGGGGGTCAGAGGATAACTTCACAGAAGTTGATTCTTTCCTTCCACATGTGTGATTCAGAGATCAAAGTCAGATTTTCAGTATTGACAACAAGCACATTTACCCGAGGAGCCACCACACCAGTCCCTAAAGTCAGTTTTTCATGTTAGAACATTTTGCTTATTTGATTTTGATCTTAAACCAGTTTATACTCTGGCACTTTGGAAAGTGAAGTATTTATGTTTTAAAGAGTATTTTTAGGGATATTTTCCTATGTATGAGTTTTTGCCTGCATCCATGTATGTACAGCAAGTGTGTATCCAATACCCACTGAAGACAGAAGAGGGAATTGAATTCCCTGAAACTGGAGTTATAAATGCTTGTTAGCCACCATGGGGGTGCTGGGAACCTGAGGTCCTTTGCAAGAGCAGCAAGTGCTTTTTTAAAAAAGTATTTTATTACTTTTATTTTATGTGTATGCGTGTATTGCCTGCATGTAGGTAAGTGCACCCATGTTGTGCAATACCCATGGAGGTCAGAAGAGGCTGTCAGATCCCCTGGGACTGGAGTTACAGACAGTTGTTAGCTTCCATGTGGGTGCTGGGATTCAAACCCGGGTCCTCTGCAAGAACAACCAGTGTTCTTAACAGCTGAGCCTACTCTCCAGCCCCACAACAAGTGCTTTTAACCACTGAGATGTCTCCCCAGCCCCTGAGTTTTAAAGTATATTAGAAATCACCTACACACACACACACACATACACGCACACACACACACACGTGCACACACACACACACACACACAGAGCGCAGTAGATAGTTTTACACAGCAGAGCAGTTGGACTGCAAAGCTCTGCACAGCAGCCAGTCGACACATGCTGTCAACTGAGGAAATGCCTGAAGAAACTATTTCTGCGTCTCTGCTCCGCTGTACGGGTCGCCGGCCAGCTTACAGAGACTTTCTCTGTTTTCAGCAGCAGAATCACTGAGTGACAGTGCTGTATCAGGGACTAAGCATCCTCTATGGTCCCCTGGTTATGGAGGATGAGAGAAGCAGTGGCTGCCAGTAAGTAGTGCCACACAATGTTTCTAACATGAAATTCCATCATGCCGAAGGTCACCAAAGGGGCACTTCACCTGTGACCTGTCACCTGTCACCTGTCACCATGGTGACTTTGATTAGTCCAAACAGATCATTTGTTTACAGCGAAGCAACCTCCAACTCTTGTGTTTTGCTGACATGTACTTATGGAATTATAACATATCAGCATGCAGACTCTTTCTCATGTATTTCTCTCACTATAGTAATAAATGTAGGTATGGCATTAATATGCCACATTACAGCTATGCTTGAATAAAGCAGCCTGACTAGTAACTTTAGTTTTAAGAGTGGGCCTGAACTCAGAGGGATCTATTCCCCCAGACGTCTCCTGGAAATGTGCTGTGGGGTCCAGGCTCACCAATACCTTTATTC